AGATTTCTTCGAAGTACAACGAGTTAGCTTTGTTACAATATTCGAATATCGGTGGAAATGTCTGCTTGATAAGTATATTAATGAGAATGTAATTAATTACTTGCGACGGCTTTATGCCAGTAAGGAGTCATGGGCAAAAGCCTTTGTGCTTAAATTATTTACAGCTGGAATGTCATCTACTTCACGGGTTGAAAGCTATAATGCAAAGGTCAAGAGATTAATATTTAATTTTAATACAACCATGTTAGAACTTGCAGAAAAATTAACAGCATGTGTTCTCGAAGAAGACAAAAAAAACAGAATACGCTTTATTTCGTGCGTCAGTTCCTAAAGCGGCTTTGGTTGCGACAGCTGATAGTATTCTTCCAAATGTTTGTAAAATGCTATGCAAGTATCTAACTGTAGAAATGCTTAAAATTCAAGAAGATCAAATAAAACAATCACTTCAATATCATGCGACGATAGTGGTTCAAGAAGAATTGCAAAGATTTCTTAACGTAAGTAATAACCGGTTGTAATTATAAAATTTGTTGTAATCAGTAATGGTAAATTACTATCGCTATAACCAGTAATCTTGTGGTAACTTACCATTGCTGGTAATTCTCATTTTGTTTAAAAATTGCAGATAAATCTTGATGATCCTGCTTTATTTGGTGAAAATCTTACTGATATTATTGCTAAGTCAATGCTTGATCTCATCGATACGAATAAGATTGTAGAAATGTGGGGAGTTCGACGTGTTATATCAAATGAAACACAGCATTTTGTAATACTATTGAATGATGGAACACATTTATGTTCTTGTCTCGACCATTGTAATCGTGGAATTGTTTGTCGCCATTTTTTTCAGGTAATGCTGTGTACACGAGATGCAACATTCCATATTCAGCTTATAAGGTCATGATGGTATAACGAAACTAGTAATGATCTGGCACAAGAATCATTTCTGGTTGCACAAAAATTTGGAATGGAACAGTCAGTAACAATGGGCTGGAATGGTTTAGTTCTTTATCTTAATGCTTTAAATCAAGGTACCGTGTATGAAATGAAGGATATAAACCGCAAGACAATAGATGAACGTAAACTGTATGGTGAAGCATGGGGCAAGGCTAGGGCAGCTTTAATGGTAGCCGTTCGAAGACATGATTACAACTTTATTTCTATTCTTGATAAATACTTGGAAGATTGCCGAGAACTACCTTCTAATAGTGATAGTGATGTTGATTCAAATAGTGCATCAAATAGTGAAAGTGAAGATAGTACCAGCAAAATTGAAAAAAGAAGGTTGGATCCAAAAGAGTTAATGAATCCTCATAAACGTAAGGGTAAGGGTCGGCCCAAAGGAACTAATAGAATACGACGTGCTGATGAGCTACCAAAAAAAGCAAAACGCAAGTTACACTGTAAGATATGTGGGGGCACTGGTCATAATCAGGTAACTTGTTCTAGAAGACAAGAATAATGATAGTGATTAGGTAATATTGGCAAGTATATACTGCAGTTGAATGTTATAAATAAGAGTGATGTCACGAATACCGATTTTTAGTTCATAATGTTTTTTTTTGGCATCGTTTAAGTTGCTTATTGAAATTGAAATTTTAAATTGCCAAAA